CAGCTGCTGCTGCTGCTGTTGTACCACCGTCAGCTGCTGCTGCTGCTGCTGTAGTACCGTCTGCTGCTGCTGTAGTACCGTCTGCTGCTGCTGTAGTACCGTCTGCTGCTGCTGTAGCATCGTCTGCTGCTGCTGTAGCATCGTCTCTGCTGCTTGCTGTAGCATCGTCTGCTGCTGCTGTAGCCATCGTCTGCTGCTGCTGTGCAACTGTCAGCTGCTGCTGCTGCTGTACCACCGTCAGCTGCTGCTGCTGCTGTAGCACTGTCAGCTGCTGCTGCTGTAGCACCGTTGTTGGTGTGGCTTATTGAGAATACAAGAAACAATTAACCCAGAGGATTTGCCACCCAGGATAACCCAAAAAAATCAGTGTCATCGAAGACTGTCTAACTATTTCCTTGGGGTCCTTAATCTTGTCTCCCAGGATGCAACCCACACCAGTCGACTAACACCCAGGTGAACAGGGAAAAATGCCTGGAACTAGTGCTCATATTGGTGAATTTAAAGCCAGCAAAGGTTGGTTTGAGAGATTTAAGAATCGTAGTGGCATACACAGTGTGATAAGGCCTGTTCTGGAAGAAAATGCCAAACAGGACCTACAGTACTCAGGAGGAAAAGGCACTCCCAGGACACAGTGTCTCATCAGTCATTGCTGCATCTTCAACAAAAGGTGTCATTTATTCTTCATTTAGTAGAGTAGTACATGCACAATATATATTGTGCATGTACTACTCTACTATTGTGCATGTATCCTTCTCTTTGTGTGTAGGAAAATGTATATTTCATGTGGTAAAAATTTTTTTTCATACTTTTGGGTGTCTTGCACGGATTAATTTGATTTCCATTATTTCTTATGGGGAAAATTCATTTGCATAACGATAATTTCGCATAATGAGCTCTCTTGCTCGGATTAATGTCGCTATGCGGGGGTCCACTGTAATACGTAATAATAATAATAATAATACATAGTAATAATAATACATAGTAATAATAATACATAGTAATAATAATATATAGTAATAATAATTTTTTTTTTTTTCAACAAGTCGGCAGTCTCCCACCGAGGCAGGGTGACCCAAAAAAGAAAGAAAATCCCCAAAAAGAAAATACTTTCATCATCATTCAACACTTTCACCACACTCGCACATTATCACTGTTTTTCCAGAGGTGCTCAGAATACAACAGTCTAGAAGCATACACATATAAAGATACACAACATATCCCTCCAAACTGCCAATATCCCAAACCCCTCCTTTAAAGTGCAGGCATTGTACTTCCCATTTCCAGGACTCAAGTCCGACTATATGAAAATAACCGGATTCCCTGAATCCCTTCACTAAATATTACCCTGCTCACACTCCAACAGATCGTCAGTCCCAAGTACATTCGTCTCCATTCACTCCTATCTAACACGCTCACGCACGCTTGCTGAAGTCCAAGCCCCTTGCCCACAAAACCTCCTTTACCCCCTCTCTCCAACCCTTTCGAGGACGACCCCTACCCGCCTTCCTTCCCTATAGATTTATATGCTTTCCATGTCATTCTACTTTGATCCATTCTCTTTAAATGACCAAACCACCTCAACAACCCCTCTTCTGCCTCTGACTAATACTTTTATTAACTCCACACCTTTTCCTAATTTCCACACTCCCGAATTTTCTGCATAATATTTACACCACACATTGCCCTTAAACAGGACATCTCCACTGCCTCCAACCGTCTCCTCGCTGCTGCATTTACACCCAAGCTTCACACCCATATAGAGTGTTGGTACTACTATACTTTCATACATTCCCTTCTTTGCCTCCATAGATAACGTTTTTTGACTCCACATATACCTCAACGCACCACTCACCTTTTTTCCCTCATCAATTCTATGATTAACCTCATCCTTCATAAATCCATCCGCCGACACGTCAACTCCCAAGTATCTGAAAACTTTCACTTCTTCCATACTCCTCCTCCCCAATTTGATATCCAATTTTCTTTATCTAAATCATTTGACACCCTCATCACCTTACTCTTTTCTATGTTCACTTTCAACTTTCTACCTTTACACACATTCCCAAACTCATCCACTAACCTTTGCAATTTTTCTTTAGAATCTCCCATAAGCACAGTATCATCAGCAAAAAGTAACTGTCAATTCCCATTTTGAATTTGATTCCAAAAATTTAATCCCACCCCTCTCCCAAACACCCTAGCATTTACTTCCTTTACAACCCCATCTATAAATATATTAAACAACCATGGTGACATTACACATCCCTGTCTAAGACCTACTTTTACCGGGAAGTAGTCTCCCTCTCTTCTACACACCCTAACCTGAGCCTCACTATCCTCATAAAAACTCTTTACAGCATTTAATAACTTACCACCTATTCCATATACTTGCAACATCTACCACATTGCTCCTCTATCCACTATCATATGCCTTTTCTAAATCCATAAATGCAATAAAAACTTCCCTGCCTTTATCTAAATACTGTTCACATATATGCTTCAATGTAAACACTTGATCTACACATCCCCTACCCACTCTGAAACCTCCTTGCTCATCCACAATCCTACATTCTGTCTTACCTCTAATTCTTTCAATTATAACCCTACCGTACACTTTTCCTGGTATACTCAGTAAGCTTATTCCTCTATAATTTTTACATTATTCCTCTATAATTTTTACAGTCTCTTTTGTCCCCTTTCCCTTTATATAAAGGGACTATACATGCTCTCCGCCAATCCCTAGGTACCTTCCCCTCTTTCATACATTTATTAAACAAAAGTACCAACCACTCCAACACTATATCCCCCCCTGCTTTTAACATTTCTGTCATGATCCCATCAGTTCCAGCTGCTTTACCCCCTTTCATTTTACGTAATGCCTCACGTACCTCCCCCACACTTACATTCTGCTCTTCTTCACTCCTAAAAGATTGTATACCTCCCTGACCATGCATGAAATTACTGCCTCTGTTTCTTCCTTAACATTTAAAAGTTCCTCAAAATATTCTCGCCATCTACCTAATACCTCCATCTCCCCATCTACTAATCTCCCTGCTCTGTTTTTAACTGACAAATCCATACTTTCCCTAGGCTTTCTTAACTGTTTAACTCACTCCAAATTTTTTCTTATTTTCATTAAAATTTCTTGACAGTGCCTCTCCCACTCTATCATCTGCTCTCCTTTTGCACTCTCTCACCACTCTCTTTACCTTTCTTTTACTCTCCATATACTCTGCTCTTCTTATAACACTTCTGCTTTGTAAAAACCTCTCATAAGCTACCTTTTTCTCTTTTATCACACCCTTTACTTCATCATTCCACCAATCACTCCTCTTTCCTCCTGCCCCCACCCTCCTATAACCACAAACTTCTGCCCCACATTCTAATACTGCATTTTTAAAACTATTCCAACCCTCTTCAACCCCCCCACTACTCATCTTTGCACTAGCCCACCTTTCTGCCAATAGTCGCTTATATCTCACCCGAACTTCCTCCTCCCTTAGTTTATACACTTTCACCTCCCTCTTACTTGTTGTTGCCACCTTCCTCTTTTCCCATCTACCTCTTACTCTAACTGTAGCTACAACTAAATAATGATCCGATATATCATTTGCCCCTCTATAAACATGTATTTCTTATGGGGAAAATTCATTCGCATACCGAACATTTCGCATAACAATCAGCCCTCTTGCATGGATTAAAGTCACTATGCGGGGGTCCACTGTAATAATACGTAATGTTCCCTTGAAGCCTGAAAAACAAGCCTCAGTCTGCCCCTGACAGTGTCATGATAAGATGAGATAACATTAGATAACATCTCACATTTGATGAGCATATGCAAGGGTGCAGTGAAAAGACTTGATAAGATTAGATTAGATGTGACATTTGATGAGCATCCGCCCTGCTTTGTTCTCGCTGGTACACAAATATGTCTGTCTGTCTGTCTATTTGTCTATCAAACTCCCTGTCTATCTGTCTAGCTCTGTCTCAGAGTACCACAAGACTGCCATCATGTTCACTCATATCTTCAAGCAGAGTATATCCTAGGTAATTTACACTATGTATACTTGTATTTGTGTGTACCTGTAAGACAGACAGACAGAGACATTGAAAGAGATAGACAGAGACAGACAAATAGACAGACAGACAGAGACAAAGATAGACAGAGATAGAGAGAGACAGAGACAGATATAGACACAGAAACAAAGGGAGCCAGCCAGCCAGCCAGCCACGCAGTTGGCCAGCCAGCCAATCAGCCAGCCTGCTGAATAAGTATTATGTTCCAGAATTCTCTTTACTTAGGGCATAGGTGTTGCACATGGGTTATTATCGAGGTTTTTCTTATATTTCCTCGACCACTTACGGCGACATCCACCTCAAAGCCACTAAACTTGGGGTCAACATCACTTTCCTCTTAAAATGGGAGGGTTAATACTACATGAAATCAGTGAATCCCAGGTGTTTGCCACGCTGTTTGCTCTAGCTGGCGCTCATTTGAACTGGTGCTCCCACAAGGTATTAATGGTACCAGATTTTTTTAACACAGTGCACACTGAGTGTTATGACCCATTCTATGCTAACAAGGCATCTCAGGCCAATTGTGCTATACTTGAAGGCAGGAAAAATAAAACGTTTATATACGTTTGGGGCACTAGTGGTAAAAACGTATATATACGTTTGGACCGTTTACGGGTTAATTTGTTACCAGCCACAGAAGGGACACTGGCAGAGTACTATAATTAAGTGCAGCACATCATGGAATACCACAGTACATGTTCCCAATACATAAAATTTGGTCAAAACATTCAAAATATAAAATGAAACAAGTGCTTAAACATTTTACATTATACTAATGTTAATCAGTATTATACAATAAATCTCATCTACAATACACAATAAATCTTATCTACAAGTGAACTGTATAAAATGCCAAACTTCTCAACAAAATAGTTAATACTCTGAACTATTTTAAAAGATACACAAGATCTGTACATAAATGTTTACCTAAACATAGTTGAAGCTGGATGATTTCCCACATCATAGCTGATTCGAAGGCGACCTTTAAACACTTCCACAGCTAAGTGTTGTCTGTCTTTACCAATATACACAAGTACACCATTGGCAATGCGTGTTGTGAAACTGATGGTGACATTAATCGACGGTCTCACCGGAGGTGTGGTAAGCTGCACAAAACTACTCGAGTCAATGAAGTTCAGAGCTGTCATGTGTTGGCAATATTTACCTGAAACAACAAGAAATAAGAAGTATATAATAAAATGTATTTACATATGAATAAAAGTAGTGTAAGAATTCAAATTCAACATATGAAGGACATATATGGACACAAGATTTTCAATGCATGCATTTTTTTTGTTTACTGTCAGAAGAGACTTGGAAGTGTATATAGTAAGGTGCAACTTTCAATACATAATGTGTAGTCCATGCTAGCTGAGAATAATTAGCAACATATTTTAAGTGTGAATTTATAAAGCAGAAGTGATAAAATAGATAAAAGTATCAAGTGTTTGGGTTGTTTGCCGTATCATGGGAAAAAAATCCTGCTGAGTGTGGAATAGGTGTTTATATTATCTATTAAAATTTGATATAAAGATTAAAATAATTTCTTCATTAAATACAAAGACTAGATATGTGCATGTGCAAAAATTAAAAGGCATCACTGATATAATTTGGGATTTTGAATTCGTGATCATTGACTTAGTCGCTGAATTAGTCAATTTAACAACTTTCTATTTGATCACCATCAGCACATCAGGTGCAATTTCTCGAAAAAATATTGTTTAGCGAGCTAAAATGTCAGACACTTATTAATGATAAAACAAAAACTTACCACTTAAAATGGAGTCAGGCTGTGCACCTGATTCATAATTGGAGATGAAAAAGTTGGTCATTATAAACTAATACAAAATTTTACTACAAATGACTGCCATTCTTCACTACACCATACATAAAGCTTTCAGAAAATGATGTATTAATAATCACATAGTGACACTTATGATTTACAGAAACACTTAAGTGGTGTAACTTAAGTTTGTTATATCTTGCTGAAAACAGGATGTTAAAGCCTTGGTGCTATTTTAATGTCATTTAGAAGCCTTAAAAACCATGAGTATAATAAAAACCACATTGGGTTTCCTTAATAATATGAGCAGGGATCTGGCATTTAGGCTGGCGATTTGAACTGTGATACAAGTGCACTTCTGGCACGACAAATATTGAATGAACGATAGTAAATGTTTCGATTTTGGATCACTACCTTGGTGGGAAACTGCCATGCAATAAAAAAGTACATATATAGAGGGGTGTTAATGTTGCAGTTTAAAAACTGTAGTGTAAAGCACCCTTCTGGCAAGACAATGATGGAGTGAATGATGGTGAAAGTTTTTCTTTTTCGGGCCACCCTGCCTTGGTGGGAATCGGCCAGTGTGATAATAAAAAAATAATAAAATTTTTATTTTATTATCACACTGGCCGATTCCCACCAAGGCAGGGTGGCCCGAAAAAGAAAAACTTTCACCATCATTCACTCCATCACTGTCTTGCCAGAAGGGTGCTTACACTACAGTTTTTAAACTGCAACATTAACACCCCTCCTCCAGAGTGCAGGCACTGTACTTCCCATCTCCAGGACTCAAGTCCGGCCCGCTGGTTTCCCTGAACCCCCTCATAAATGTTATACCTTGCTCACACTCCAACAGCACGTCAATATTAAAACCATTTGCCCTCCATTCACCCTATCAAACACACTCATGCATACCTCTGGAAGTCCAAGCCCCTCCCCACACAAAACCTCCTTTACCCCTCTCTCCAACCTTTCCTAGGCCGACCCCTCCCCCGCCTTCCTTCCACTACAGACTGATACACTCTTGAAGTTATTCTGTTTCGCTCCATTCTCTTTTACATGTCCGAACCACCTCACAACCCTTCCTCAGCCCTCTGGACAACAGTTTTGGTAATCCCGCACCTCCTCCTAACTTCCAAACTACGAATTCTCTGCTTATATTCACACCACACATTGCCCTCAGACATGACATCTCCACTGCCTCCACCTTTTTCCTCGCTGCAACATTCATCACCCATGCTTCACACCCATATAAGAGCGTTGGTAAAACTATACTCTCATACATTCCCCTTTTGCCTCCAAGGACAAAGTTTCTTTGTCTCCACAGACTCCTAAGTGCACACCACTCACTCTTTTTCCCTCATCAATTCTATGATTCACCTCATCTTTCATAGACCCCTCCCTGACACGTCCACTCCCAAATATCTGAATACATTCACCTCCTCCATACTCTCTCCCTCCAACTGATATTCAATCTTTCATCCCCCTAATCTTTTTGTTATCCTCATAACCTTACCTTTCCCGTATTCACCTTTAATTTTTCTTTGCACACCCTACCAAATTCATCCACCAATCTCTGCAACTTCTCTTCAGAATCTCCCAAGAGCACAGTGTCATCAGCAAAGAGCACTGTGACAACTCCCACTTTGTGTGTGATTCTTTATCTTTTAACTCCACGCCTCTTGTCAAGACCCTCGCATTTACTTCTCTTACAACCCCATCTATAAATATATTAAACAACCACGGTGACATCACCATCCTTGTCTAAGCCTACTTTTACTGGGAAATAATTTCCCTCTTTCCTACATACTCTAACTTGAGCCTCACTATCCTCGTAAAAACTCTTTACTGCTTTCAGTAAAACCCACCTCCTACACCATACACTTGCAACATCTGCCACATTGCCCCCCTATCCACCCTGTCATACGCCTTTTCCAAATCCATAAATGCCACAAAGACCTCTTTAGCCTTATCTAAATACTGTTCACTTATAGGTTTTCACGTAAACACCGTCCACAACACCCCCTACAATTCTAAAGGCCTCCCTTGTGCATCTGCTAATCACAAATCTCCAACTTACTCTTAATTCTTTTCAATAATAACTCTACCATACACATTACAGGTACATCCTCAGCAGACTTATCCCCCTATATTTTTGCACTCTCTTTTATCCGCCTTTGCCTTTATACAAAAGGAACTATGCATGCTCTCTGCCAATCCCTAGGTACCTTACCCTCTTCCATACATTTATTAACTAATTGCACCAACCACTCCAAAACTATATCCCCACCTGCTTTAACATTTCTATCTTTATCCCATCAATCCCGCTGGCATAACCCCCTTTATTTTTACCTACTGCCTCACGAACTTCCCCCACACTCACGAACTGGCTCTTCCTCACCACCTACAAGTAAATTATTCCTCCTTGCACCTATACACTAAATCACAGCTACTCACCTAATCTCATCAACATTTAACAATTCCTCAAAATATTCCCTCCATCCTTCCCATACCTCTAACTCTCCATTTAAATAACTCGCCTCTCCTATGTTTAACTTACAATCCATTTGATCGCTAGGCTTTCTTAACTTGTTAATCTCACTTCAAAACTTTATATTATTTGCAACAAAATTTTTGATAACATCTCACCCACCCCATTTGCTCTCTTTTACATTGCTTCACCACCCTTTTAACCCTCTTTTTTTCTCCATAACTCTTCCCTCCTTGCATCACTTTTCTACTTTGTAAAACTTCTCATATGCTAACTTTTTTCTCCCTTACTACTCTCTTACATCATCATTCCACCAATCGCTCCTCTTCCCTCCCGCACCCACTTTCCTGTAACCACAAACTTCTGCTAAAACACTCTAACACTCCCATTTTTAAACCTACCCATACCCTTCGACCCCAAATTGCCTATGCTCTCATTAGCCCATCTATCCTCCAATAGCTGTTTATATCTTACCCTAACTGCCTCCTCTTTTAGTTTATAAACCTTCACCTCTCTCTTCCCTGATGTTTCTATTCTCCTTGTATCCCATCTACCTTTTACTCTCAGTGTAGCTACAACTAGAAAGTGATCTGATATATCTGTGGCCCTCTCAAAAACATGTACATCCTGAAGTCTACTCAACATCTTTATCTCCCAAATACATAATCCAACAAACACTGTCATTTCGCCCTACATCATATCTTGTAACTTATTTATCCTCTTTTTCTTAAAATATGTATTACCTATAACTAAACCCCTTTCTATACAAATTTCCCAATCAAAGGCTCCCATTATCATTTACACCTGGCACCCCAAACTTACCTACCACACCCTCTCTAAAAGTTTCTCCTACTTTAGCATTCAGGTCCCCTACCACATTACTCTCTCACTTGGTTCAAAGGCTCCTATACATTCACTTAACATCTCCCAAAATCTCTCTCTCTCCTCGCCATTCCTCTCTTCTCCAGGTGCATACACGCTTATTATGACCCACTTCTCGCATCCAACCTTTACTTTAATCCACATAATTCTTGAATTACACATTCATATTCTTTTTTCTCCTTCCATAACTGATCATTTAACATTACTGCTACCCCTTCCTTTGCTCTAACTCTCTCAGATACTCCAGATTTAATCCCATTTATTTCCCCCCACTGAAACTCTCCTACCCCCTTCAGCTTTGTTTTTGCTTTGGGCCAGGGCATCCAACTTCTTTCATTCATAACATCAGCAATCATCTGTTTCTTGTCATTCGCACTACATCCACGCACATTTAAGCATCCCAGTTTTATAAAGTTTTTCTTTCTCCTTTTTTAGTAATGTCTACAGGAGAAGGGGTTACTAGCCCATTGCTCCCGGCATTTTAGTCCCCCTCATACAAAACGCATGGCTTACGGAGGAAAGATTCTTTTCCACTTCCCCATGGATAATAGAAGAAATAAAGAAGAACAAGAACTATTTAGAAAAAGGAGAAAAACCTAGATGTATGTATATATATATGCATGTGCGTGTCTGTGAAGTGTGACCAAAGTGTTAGTAGGAGTAGCAAGATATCCCTGTTATCTAGCGTGTTTATGAGACAGAAAAAGAAACCAGCAATCCTACCATCATGCAAAACAGTTACAGTGTGATAATAAAAAAATAATAAAATATAGATCTCATTATAGGATGGTAAACAGCAACCACCCAGGGAGGTACTACCATCCTGCCTAATAAGTGAAATAGAAACCTGTAATTGTTTACACAATGGCAGGATTGCTGGTGTCTTTTCTTTCTGTCTCAAACATGCTAAGTAACAGGTAGATCTTGGCACTTTTGCTCACACTTAGGTCACACCACATGTGCATGTACACATATGTATACACATTCATCTGAGTTTTCTTATATTTTC